ATCATCAAGTAAATGTTTTGGAAAAATAAAATGAAGATCATCTATCAAAGCCTTGAAAGATAAAGAAAGGTAAGCTATTGGAAAAGATGGGTGGGAAATCAATTTTATTAAAAAATAAACAACAAATAAAAAAATAAATTTCAAGAATCTAAGAATCGTGGAAATTAAAATTCGGCAGGAGTTTCAAAAATGGTAATAACATATAATGCTAATAATACCTTAGTGATGGAGATCTTTTACATAATGAATAATTAAGTATGGATTACTGTAAATTTGAAAAGGACTATAACAAATTTATTTGACACTAATTTCACGACTATGTTTGTTCATTTTATATATAAGTATATCCATTAGGCAAAGTTCCAAACAGCCTTTAGTTGAAATGGGCTATCATTTTAGTTTGAAAAATATATTGAGCATCGAATTTTATTTTTATCTAAAAATAAATAAATACAAACTTTGACAGCTCATATATTTATTGACGTTTCGTAGATGTGTCCCTCTTATGAAAACATGACTATTGCAGTAAAATATACCGTAATAATATAATATTCGACATCAGGGGTCTCCTCCCCCACCCAAAGCCGATGACGCATAAATCTTTCCCCACATCTCCCAAGATATTTTATTTCTCTTTTCTAAACAGTGCAAACGAAAGCACAATTTAAATATTCGTAGATTATATACAATTACACATCCTGTGGTCTATTCTATGCTTCCACTTGTCTTTTAATATGAAACTTGTCATTTTGAAAATTGAAAACCCCGTCGGAATGTATCCCCCTCAAAAATTGAAAACCCCGTCAAAAAGTGCCTCTTATAAATTTCTATGGTGCAACTTGCGCCATAAAACACAGACCATGTAGTTCTTTTTCCGCCTTAACAAGCCTGCTCCATCTCTGCCTGTCTTGGGCTATTTCTTTCCATTTATCTGCAAGCAGCTCTGTTGCATCTTTGTTGATTCTATCTATCCATTCGCTTTTTTTCCTTCCACTTGGTCTTTTGCCTTCTATTGAGGCATTCATTGTTACGTAGAGGCTTCCAGATGGATTGCTACGAGCTACGTGCCCAATCCATCTTAACCTCCATGCCTTCATATTATGGGATATTGATTGACTAGTTCCTGTAAGCAGTTCTTTATTGGTCTTTCTTCTCCATGTGTTAGTATTCTGATCCCAGATCTCTCCGGTTATCGTGCGGAGGATTTTCCTCTCAAATCTTTCAACACTCTTTTCTAGGGTTCTGGTTAGTGTCCAGGTCTCCCAGCCATACATCAATCAGAACTAGCTTTATCATAGCATTGTACACCCTTAGTTTGAGATTTCTTAAGGTTTATCGGAATTTCAATACCTTTGAGAGGGAGAAGAAAGCTATGTTGAACCAAAGAAAGCATTGAAGTTATTGTGGAGTCGAGTCATTTGAATTTTTCTAGTCTCGAGAATGATTTTCCTTTTACGCAGACCCTGTTATTGGGTTGGAATTTTCGGCTTGTTATCATATATTTTGTATTGCCTTCATGCACTTTTAGGCCAATCTGCTCTGAATAATCCGTGTATATTATATTTTTTGTTTCGGGGTTGAAGGCAACGAGTCATGTAATTTAGCAACCTAAAATCGTCAAGCGTTGCGTTTAGCCTAATTTAATTAGTTTTCTATATTAGTTTTATTTATTTATTTTTTTGTTATAAAACTTTAATACCCAATTTTCTCTACGTGTACATATGTTCAATATTTCTTTTGATTGTTATTGATAAACAAGGCAGTTTCTTGGATGTTGATGATGATCTGAAAAGTCGTACAAAACTTGTTAATTATGAGCGTAATTAAAGATTATTTTTTAACAAATCATATAATTAATCACTGATAATATTGGTTAATATCAAAAATATTTGTTTTACCAATAATATGTCTCCTATATAGATTGTATATTTTTATTGCATGCGTGTGATTGGGTAATATCAAATGATTATACATAAAATATTCCCGCTCTAAAAATAAAATATTTTAATGGCCGTTATTAAAAAAGAACAAAAATAATTTTAAATCATTTGTATGAAATAAAATTGTCAGGAATTTCTGTCGATATTGTTATTATTTATCTTTTTCTTGAGAAATAATAAATTTTACCACATTTAAGGGCACTAAGTACTAGAGCTGAGTGAGGCTCATACAAACCATATATGCAGTATATTAAAAAAATAAAGTAAATAAAAAACATATTACAAATAAATAAATAAAGAATATATCGATATCTTTATTGGGTTAGCCGATGTTTCGACCTAAACATGTGAGTAATCCTAAGGGCTATCGTTTGAAAGTCGAAACAAGAAATTCAAGAACAAGAAAATTATGAGATAACAATTTTTACGCCTTATCTTCTAACTTGATAACTTAAATTGGCTTTTTTAGTGACTTTTCTTTTTCTTTTACATTACACTAAATAGGCATAATCTCCATGACCCCAACCAATTATAAAAACCCCCATTAATTATAAAACCATGACACCTCTTAAGTTTACTATTAAGTTACTTAAGTTTACTACTAAGTTACTAACACTTGATTAAAAAAAAATTAAAAGAGATCATTCGCTTTGCAGGATATGCAACAAATATATTTTACTAATTATACTATTATACTAAAACTGTATATATATATATATATATATATATATATATATATATATATATATATATATATATATATATATATATATATATATATGCCTGCTTGTAAAATACATTTCTATTATGTTATGTTTGGTAGAAGAAAATAAAATTAGTTGAGTTTTCAAGCATTTGTCTTCATTGATTCATAATAAATTACTTATGCGGCATGTGAGTAAGTCCATATAAATCTTCCGTTGAATGTTGATATAAATTAGGGTTGAATGAGTGAATGGAAATTGTTGATGGTGCGATTGCGTGAGATAACGTTAGAACAAAAGGAATGCCTAGGTAAGCCTGGTCATAGCGATGTTTGAATATCGCTGTGTTTAATGTGGAAAAAATAAATTATATAGACATAATTATGCTTAAAAAATCCCGGAGTAGACAAAAAAATTGAGCTTTTGGTAAACAAGTTGCTCTGATATTAGTTTTGTATGGGAAAGGAATGAAAGATACCGAATTGTCAGCATATCTGTAGTCATAGAGGCGCTTTCAGGTCATTATCATAACATGTCAATTATAACAACTTTATCTATACAATCGATTGTGTATTTATTTATATATGTCATGAATTATATCTATATAAATCGAATGTTTGTCATTTTCTGTTTATTAAAATTGCGTTCAAGTTTATGTTAGTGAGTTGGTGGAAATTTCATAATATTAAGTGTTTTCTGACTCCATGCCTTAATGAACATTTTCTTGAATTTCTTTGTGTTCAAATTTATCTCAAAAACAAAAGTTTATGCGTTAATTACCTCCTATGATAATTTTCCTAGCCAATTCGTTATAAATTTTATTTTTAGTGGTATATAGTAGAAAACTATTAATAATGACGTAATCTTAGTACGATATTGGTTATAGTTTTGTCGTGTCATTGTTATCTATGCGACAAGATTAGTATAGGCCAGTTCAACCGGGAAGTAAGATCGAAGCCCTCGTGAGAAATTAATAAGCTCCTGATATCAAATATATCTACTTTAAATCAATCATTTATTCATTTATTTACAACAATGGTGGGGCTCCTCAACCTCTTACGGGTCATTTTAGTCCTTAAAAAATATTTATTTTACATCAGATTTAACAATAAATTGAAAGCATAAAATATTGAAAACAAAAAAAGAGTCAGCAAATTTTAAATTTTGTTGTAAAGGTGCGCTATTTGAAGAAATGTTAAGACTTTTTTTGCCAATTTGGTAGTATTTTTTAGAATTTCAGTTATATCGTTCTCCAATTCAACTTCATTACGTCGTTTTTCATATCCATAACATTCAGTCAAAATGTGCCTGATTGTTAAATTGACCCCGCAGCAGAGACACTTTCTCATCAGGTGATCATTAGTTAGCCGTGAGTGGCCGATTCGGAGCCTTGTAAATCAATCATTTATAAAATACTAACAATAATTTAATATATTTTAATTACTAAAAAGTAGTAAGTATATCAAGAGAAGTTAAACATTATTATATCACACAATATTCATTTATTAAAATAATATTTTGAAATCGACAGACATATGAATCCTACAAAACTGAACTATAAAAAAAATATATTAATCCCAGATCAACGCCGGTTTACGGTATGTTATTAAGTAAAAGGTTAAACAATACATATAATAATAAGAAATTAATATCCTTAACTTAACCTAAAAACAAATTTCTGCTCTACATTTTCTCCCTATATTTCCCCATCGCCTAATTTGGACCTCAAAGAATTATTCCTTCTCAATCCAAATACTTTACTTGAGAACCAAATTTTTAATAGTTGTATTTTTTTTTATTTATTTTTTTTCTTAGACGCAGATTAATTTGTTGCGGGGAATTCCCACTTTTCTGTAATGCAGGAAAACCCATCTATTATTGATACAATTTTTTTAAAAATCATATAATGTTTTTTAGTTCTACCAATGGGTAGTTTCTCTTCATGTTGTACATGTCATATTTCTTATTTCAAATTTACTTGTTGTATTTATCATTTAATACAGTTGTAAATTTCGATAATAAAAAATAATGTTTAATATCAGTTCCCCTTGTGCATTTTTTATAAAATGTTTTGTCTGATAATTGATACTGGCTGAACGCCCATCTATTCCATAGTTAGATAACGTTCTGATATTGCATATACGATTAAAATAACCGACATGATCTTGTTATGTATATGATTAGTGATAACATTTGAGACACAGCCTGGACACAGTTTATTTACACATGAGCTTGTAGACTGAGGCCCCGGCGAAGATTCTATTATTTTCTCCGGAGCGGTGGAGTGGTGGGGGGGGGGGAGACGCAGGCGCGGCGGTGGGCTGAGTGGGGGGAACCCCGTGCTCAGTCCGACCAGCTTCGCCCGGGCTTGCGATAGTACCTGCCGCCGTACCTCAGATAGTACCTGTCGAACTGTCTCTACCGTCCGTCAGTCCTCGTTATCAATGAACCCCGAGTGAACATAGCTCCATTGTAGTGTTTAGTATCAGTTGATCTCGTAGTGCTGTGATCTCCGAGAGCTGTGGACCGATTCGATATGATCTCCTAATAGCAGGATATATATAATATAATCGAGGTACCATATCTTACCTATATTGATAATCATAGCTATAACATAATCATAATATATTAAATTATTTGAAAAGTATCTGTTATCAGTGAACGCCTGACGTAGTATAGTTATGCTACGCCAGAAACACACGTTCAACCGCCGTTTCACTTCCAAGTACATCCTATCACACTACATTCAAACATTTACCATTTAACATTATTCCATCGTTAATACAATTTTGATTATTTCAATAATTAAATAATTGATATGAAAAAATCAAATAATTTAATTATAATTTTAAGTTATTTTAGGAACATTATTGTGGTTATAAATAATTTATGAACTAAATCTTCTTTTTTTTTTGTCTAATTCTATACTAGTTAAATAAACGTTTTAAATTTGATCTCATCTTCAGGATCTTGACATTTTTTTTTCTTGTATATAACATTGTAATTTTTCTGTTAAATATTCTGGCATGTTCAAATTGATTAATTCATTATCAAAAAATAAATTATTATAAGTAAAAAAAATTTTAAATGTATTGACAATTAAGTGTTGTATAGTAAAATTCTGTAAAGTATTTTAAATAGATAATAAAATGCTCATTAGTTAAATTGAGGGTCATATAATTTATCTTAATATATAAATATTTTCTTCCTTTTTTTAATTTAATATTTCATATAATATTAAGCATAGACAATAAACTCCTAAATTTTATACTGACACCCATATTTACTCCATGATATTTCTTAGAAGGGGTATGAATGTTATCCTCTCGAATACTCTCAGGTTAACTTGTTGCCTATTGTCTACTAATACTGTTTAATTTATTGTTATTGTTAGTGCAAAAGGTCATATGTAAAAATTCTAAAAACTTATTATTTCTTTATGATTTCATATTTTAATTCCTTCTGCTATTTTATATAGTAGCAGACCACTTATTGCAGTTGGAGACTACGTAATGTTACTCTAGGAAAAATAGAATAAACATATGAAATTGTTACATACGACCTTTCGCACTAACATTAGAGTTATGTCTATTTGAATCCATTATCTTATTTTGAAATTTTGATGTAAATTGAGAGTAATTGTATACTAACTTTTGAACGTAAGCATTAATTGATTTTTGTTTTAATTTAGTAAAAGAAATAATTATAACAAAATTAAGGAAGGTCAAATGTATCTTCACGTATTGACACGTGGTTCTACTCAGTAGTAACGTAGTGAATTAACACTCCCCTAAACTGTTATCAGTTGTGTAAACAGTTTTACGTAACCCCTTCTTCGAAAAAGTTAAAACAGCACGCACACATTGAGAACAAAATAAATTTGAAAGTATAATGTTATGTATGGCCGGCCTATTTCTACTTGAGTAGTTTCACATTCGTATTTATAGGATATTCATTAATCTCGGTATCTTCTGTATTTCAATCAGGTGTATCTTAACGTTCCATGATAAGAGAGTTGGTTTACGTAAGATGCCACGTTATTGCTACGGATAACCTTGAAGCTATTTCCTATTTCCCACTCATCCACGGCCGTAGTTATATAATGCGAACGGCCTTAGAGTATATTATCTCTTTGATAACTGTCAATTGTAGTAAAACCTTTTGTTGAGGGGTTCGAGACCCGTCGGACTGGCTACGCAGCATACGATGACGTTCCACACCTCGATAACGTAAGTAACAGGTGATCGCGAGGTAAGAAAAAAACCCGTGTTTATCGACGGGTCAGTTGCGTAAAGGTTGAGCAGAGAGAGCTGCGGGGGTGGTTTCCCCTCCTTCTATTTATACTGTCTCTGTCGTTGACCCCGTGTGTGGGGTTCCTCTCCCACAACCAAACTACACAAGACTAAAATAAACAATTGTTTTGTTGTTTACATTTGTTGGCTGTGTGTTTTCTTTATTAATAATGTATGTATTGAATTTTTTTTTTTAATTATAAAATAACGCATAAAGAATTCGAACAAAATAGTCATTTATTAATATCTCATTCTATAATAATATAATGTTTATTTTTTTTCGAATAATTAGAAGTAAAGATCTCATCAGTCAAACCTAATTGGTGCTCACTGACACTTTTTTTACCACATTTTGTTAATATTTTGTTAAGTCATGATGTCATTCGTGCTAAAGCATGCCTCGTTCTTTTAAGAATTGAAAAAAAGAAATCAACAATACCTAGGGATAGGAATTTCTAGGTATTAATTATTAAAAGCAGGTAGAATTTCGGAAAGAGATAATGAACAATTGAGCGATGAGGGATCTCATTTACTTGCAAATCTGATGTTGTTCAACTCCAGGGAATTTCTAATTTCTACAGAATTTCGAACAAATCCAATACATAATCTGTACCAATGAGTCCGGACTCACTCCGTTTGTATTCAGGGGATTAACATTAGCAATTACTTACGCTTTTAAACTATAGCCACAATCCATTTTCAATTTTCTTCTTCTTTCGACAAATTCGGAATCCAACTCTTCCCCCATCGGAAAGGATCTCCTCGGCTATCTGTTATAACGATAACTGACCTTGGACCAACACATTCTAAAGTAATCCTAGATCTCACCAAGTACTCCATTTGTACCGAACCATCTGAAAATATTAAAGCCTTTTGTTGTTGTTATTGCATCAATGTTATATTATCAATGTTATTGCAGCAGCACTTCACGTCTGTATGTCATTAATCCATCAAATTACAGTATTCGTTACTCCTGAAGCTCGTTACGAGGCCTAAGTTTTCGGTATCCAACGTATCCGAAAATGTGCTTGTTGTAATGTTACATAACCAGTTCACACAAACCAAGTAAGGCAGATTCATATAGGTTCAAAGTCACGTGGGAGTCATTAAAACGTGTCCGGATCGGGTTGCAAGAAGCGCTCACGCTGCTCGACGAGGAAATTTTAACTTCATCAGCATCAAGTGAACTCTAACGAAATTGCAAGCCTAACGAATAAGTTAAAAATTATAATTAAGGAGGTAAAGCCCTGGGTCACCTCCAGACTCAAATATCTTAGAGAAGACGTAGAACTAATTCGACTGAGAGAAAAACACTCAAGTGTTATCACTTATTACTAGTATAATTACTCACCCCTACCACATCATAAAGGGATCGCCACCGTGTAATGTCTATATTATAATAAAAACATGACTATAAGCCATGTCTTTTCCGAAAACGTCCGAATTGACCAATGACAATACTACTATAGAATTAGTCCTCAATTTCTTATAATCCAACAATATTGTTACTGAATTATAACTTCTGATTAATAGATTATTGGGATGGAAGATTAGGGAGAAAAAGAGAAGGAAGAAGTAAGGTAAAAATTGCTTTAGTTTACCTAACAAAACTATTTTTCGGTTACTTTAACATTTTTCAATGTACGAACTAACTAGATTTAATCAATAAAGATTTTTGTAAAAATATAAGAATTTACCTAAATACCTTTTGGTATTTTTTATAACTCATAATATCTACCAATTCTCTATCCTCAATTTTTATTTATGATTTTCAAATTCAAGTTCAAAAGAAAAAACATCAATTCAATATAGTTGGAATACTTTATTTTGTTTTTTAATGTAAATTATGTTTAAAGTAGAAGTGTTCGTTAATATTTCCATACCATATATTATTATAAATGTGTTGTCGCTCCTAATTTATAACCCCCATTTTGAAAATTAAAAATCCGTTGAGTTAACCTTTAGCATAATGCATAACGTAATGTTTCGAGACAAGATCTCAGTCTTCTAAACACAATATCTTACCTAATCATAATGAGGTAATAAAATAAATTAAAATTTTAATTTATAATTTTTTATTGAATCCTCAAATTGATTAATATTGATACATCTTTGTTTTAGTATTTGTTGATGAAATAAATTTTATATATTATAAAATAAATACGTCCATTTATATATTATAAAGAAATACGCCAAAATTTCTCAAAGCCAAATAGAACAGGAAAAGCCATTAAATCAATTCGAGATAAGGGACCATTCATTTATTTTTTATTTGTTTTTATTATTACTTTTTTAAAAGGATTTTCATGACTCAAAAGTCCACTTACGCGTTTTTGTTTTGTTTTTGCATAAAGTTTGAAATATGAGCTATACTCTCGAAGCATGACTTAGTAATTAGTTAGAAAATGCGAAAGTTTTTTTTTCCAATTATTTGTAATTTTTTTTATATCCTTATTTTATAGGTTTTTATAGGACATGGATAAATTTTATATGATTAAAAACCCATATTTTTTTTTAAATAGATTCATTTTCTGTTAATAATGGATCTTTAAATAGAAAAAAAAAATAATTCCAAATTCGTGGGAAATTAAAAGAAGACGTAATCCGTGTGGTATGGATTCTGAGTCACCGGAAGGCGTTGAGAGCTGGAAGAATTTTAAAAATTAAATAGCGCCATCTTTCTGAGAAAGGATCAAGCTTCGTCGTTTGGTTTAGCTTGGAAGAATCGTTCCAAGAACGGAAAATTATTAAATGAATTCTTTTCCAATTGGCCAGGTGATACCCAAAGAGTTATTTATTTTTTTTAGCAATTTGATTCAAATGTTGGTTATTGTGCTACTCAGTTCTTTTGGTAATAGTGGATAGATATACTTATGTATTCAGTGACAGTACAGATAAAATTCATTCTATTGAAGGAATTATTTATTTATTAGTCATATGAAATATTATACTAGTTATATATCAAGCAACCCTAATATATTGATCATATATTTTTTTTTTTTTTTTTTTGGAAGAATAGAGACATTATTTAAAAGGTTATCTTCTTAATATTTCAAAACATATCTTTGTGATGTAAACAATATCATTTTAAATACGGTGATAATTTTAGGTAATAAAAAGCGATAAAGTATTTAAAAACTATAAGAAAATATTTCAGATAATTTTTTATCATTATTCATGGTATTAATAAATATTCAAATTGTATATAAATATGTGTTTTTTAGACTGCTTTACGTTATTTTTTTATTATTAAAAATTCGATTTAGATATTTATATTTTGTAT